TGACAACACAAATGTGGCCCATATGGCCCTCATGACAACAACAAATGTGGCCCATATGGCCCTCATGACAACACAAATGTGGCCCATGGCCCTCATGACAACACAAATGTGGCCCATATGGCCCTCATGACAACACAAATGTGGCCCATATGGCCCTCATGACAACACAAATGTGGCCCATATGGCCCTCATGACAACACAAATGTGGCCCATATGGCCCTCATGACAACACAAATGTGGCCCATATGGCCCTCGGGGTGGCCACCCCCCCCCCCTCAGTTTGACATGCCTGCCTTATCCCACCCTCGCATGAATCTAAATTACAAACTTTAGAAGCGTGAATTAGCTGAGTCGAGAGTGATCGACTCAGTGAGTCGGTACGTAAGGAACTTAGATTTCAGTCCCACAAGGGCGAAAATTCAAAAGATCTTTCCTAAGAACTTGTGTTCTATAGTCTTAGAGATACGGACACCAAAAGGGAGGTCAACTTCAAGGTCCTCCTCGTATGATAATTCAGAGGGTAAGCATCTTGTAAGATTAGATATTTACAAGGTAAACAGTTCGTAAGTCTGGTGATTCAAAGAGTAAACAGCTCGTAAGGTTGGTAATTTAAAAGGTAAACAGTTCATAAGTGCGGTGAGCCCGAGGGTATATCCACCCTGGAGGATTTCTATATTTCAGGGATTTCTATATTTCCAAACTTTGGGCATTCATTATATCCAATAAATTTTCTTGAGTTATGAGAAAATATAACATAAGATTTTTAGGCTGGTTAGATATGAAAATATCCGCGCACAAGGCCTTAACAACGGTGTGTGTGTGTGTATTTACTATTTGTGTATGCAGAATGGAGCTATTAGCTCTTGGACCCCGCCTTTTAAACCAATCTATTTTCTTCTACTATGTCTTTACTGCATATATATTTCTAACCCACGCATACATACACACACATATCCCCAGGATGCAGCCCGTAGCAGCTGTCGAACTCCCAGGTATCTATTTACTACTAGGTGAGCAGTAGCATCAGCGTGAAAGAAACTCTGCCCCGGCTGGGGAACAAACCCGGGCCCTTAGGACTACGATTTCCGAGCGCTGTCCACTCAGCCGCGAGGCCCTTACCTTGCGGCTGAGTGTGTGTGTGTGTGTGTGTGTGTGTGTGTGTGTGTGTGTGTGTGTGTGTGTGTGTGTGTGTGTGTGTGTGTGTGTGTGTGTGTCAAAACTTCACAGGATAGTTGAATTATTCAAAAATATAACAAATAATATTACTTAAAATGTGAATATGCGACAAAGGAAGTCTGGATTTATCCCAACTGTGGCCATTGACTTTGTAAGGATTACCTGTGCCACGAACTTGCTGGCACTAGTACTGTGCACATCTTGATAGTTTCAACTACATTTTATCTCTAAGTGACATAAATGATGATGCTCAGTAGTATACAGAAGTGAGTGCTCAGCTCTCTGCAGGTGTGGAGGGTGAGCAGGTGTGGGGGGTGAGCAGGTGTGGGTGAGCAGGTGTGGGTGAGCAGGTGTGGGTGCTCAGTGACAGCGCACAAATTACGGCCACAAGGGTTAAAGTCGCTTGCCACACTTCTGCCATTCACCTTCATTAACGGGAGAGTCTCGCTAACTACCCGGGCACTTATGGACACGGCAACAACTAAAATGTCACATAGAGCGTGTTCCGGATTAGGCAAAAAAAGGTGATTGGACAGCGGAACCGGTTATATGAAACCCGTTCAGTGAAAGCGGCTCTGTGCACAATACTAGCAACAACAAAAAAATGAGCCAATTGCATCACACTATATTAATATCCGCAACAAAGTGGATAGTGTGATTATCACTGACTTTGGCATTCGAGCCCACCATATACGACGGAACAAGGACTCTCGAGTTACTCACCAGGTACGTCCAGGTCGGCCTAATGGGCGATTTCAATGCTCCTTATTAAGTGATCAAATCGTGTCAATAATCAAGCAATTATAGGTGGATAAAATAGACGATAGTGACAGGTTATCACAAGGAACAACATTACTAAGAGGTATATTAAGTCAATATTGCATTTGACTGCATATTTCTTCCACTAAGAGTAATGATAGATAATATTAACACAGGTTAACTAGCATCTTGACAGCGGGAGATGAAGTGCTAGTTTGAGAAGAGAGATGCTGGTGTTATGATGCGCTCAGCTGGCATGACTTGAGAGGTTTTCCCGCCACGACTTCTCGCTGACGAGCCTTCCTCTCTCCTCTTATGAAGGACACTACACACGGGGCTGCTGCACGAGGTAGAACACGCCTTGTTGGGTGACCCAGACGACGCAGGGAGCCGCCCGTTGGTCTCACCATTGTACATCACACCACTCGATCCCCGAGGCAGCCCTGTGGGACCAACGGTCAGGCCTACCATGGCCAAGTGGTCCCCGGGTCCCTTAAGTGATGTCTGAGAGGGGATACACGCCAAAAATTAAACTCAATGTTTGTAAACACAATAGCAGTAACAAATGATTTTTTTTCCACAATAACTATGAATTATCAATGAATGTGATATCTAGACACAGCTGGTGACTGCCAGGTACTCTATCCCAGGTACCCGCTCCCAGGTACCCGCCCCCAGGTACCCGCCCCCAGGTACCCGCCCCCAGGTACCCGCCCCCAGGTACCCGCCCCCAGGTACCCGCTCCCAGGTACCCGCTCCCAGGTACCCGCCCCCAGGTACCCGCTCCCAGGTACCCGCTCCCAGGTGCCCGCTCCCAGGTACCGGCTCCCAGGTACCCGCTCCCAGGTACCCGCCCCCAGGTACCCGCTCCCAGGTACCCGCTCCCAGGTACCCACCTTGTGTTTGATGCGCTTCCTGTACTCTCTGATGTAGAAGTCGGTGAAGAGGATGAAGAAGAGAAGCGCCATACCGCTCACCCAAGCCAACAGCACTGATGGTATCGCGCACTCCACGAACATTACCTGTCATGAGGTAGCTGGGTTATGGGGGGTTGCTCTCTCTCTCTCTCTCTCTCTCTCTCTCTCTCTCTCTCTCTCTCTCTCTCTCTCTCTCTCTCTCTCTCTCTCTCTCTCTCTATATCTATCTCTCTCTCTCTCTCTCTCTCTCTCTCTCTCTCTCTCTCTCTCTCTCTCTCTCTCTCTCTCTCTCTCTCTCTCTCTCTCTCTCTCTCTCTCTCTCTCTCTCTCGTCAGACATCAGATTATCCTAGATAATTAACAGATCCGAGAGAGATTATAGTCATTATCAGAAATGTTTAAGGTGATGTATTAATCATAACTAAACTATACTAAACATACATGAAGCCTGGCGTCTCACAGACGCGCTAAACACAGCTGTGCGACCCGAGGCCTATGTTATCGCGTCTGAAATAAAAACCCGAGAAACTGGTGCTTCCGGACTCACCATCAAGTTCTGTAAAATGACGACTGTGAACTGGACAATCTGAAGGGTGGTGAGGTACTTCTTCCACCAGAGGAAAGGACGGACTCGGGGCCCCATGGCCGCCAGCAGGTAGTACGAGTACATGACGGTGTGGACGAAGGCGTTCAGTAGGATCATCAGGGTCGTGTGACCTCCTGGAGAATGACACATTCAGTACACACAGAAATCACAATAAGGCGATGCGTCAAATGAACAAATTATGTCGTAGCTCAGGTCGATTAAGGCCGCGTTTGGGATGCTCTTTGGACGCAGGTTTGAATCCTCGTCACGGCCCTTGTGGATTTGTACACATTCAGTGGCTTAAAGTAGTTTAGATTAGAAGATTGGGGAGGTAAACTGCAGCTTCCTTGTGCTGTGTGAAATATTACACACAGTGTGAGATTGAGATTACACGCAGTGTGTGACATTACACACAGTGTGAGATTGAGATTACACACAGTGTGTGACATTACACATATTACACAAAGTATGCGGGATATATGCATAGGGTAACACCCACAGAACACTCCCATTAACCACCAGGACACTCCCATCACCCACAGAACACTCCCATCATCCACCAAGACACTCCCATCACCCACCAGGACACTCCCATCACCCACCAGGACACTCCCATCACCCACCAGGACACTCCCATCACCCACCAGAACACTCCCATCACCCACAGAACACTCCCAGCACCCACAGAACACTCCCATCACCCACCAGGACACTCCCATCACCCACCAGGACACTCCCATCACCCACCAGAACACTCCCATCACCCACCAGGACACATGTCCCAGCAGGTTAAGGAGAGAGAGAGAGGTCACTCACCAGCATAATACCGGATGCCATACCACATACACACGGGCATGAGGGCGTGGTGAACCACATGCAGCAGGGAGACGTGCTTGTTCTTCTTGTTCAGCACGAAGAACACCTGCAGATCAACATATGAGGTCTCATTTAGAGTCATAAAAACTTATATACAGAGTAACCACTGTGAAAATTGAAAAGATAACTACTCCTCCTTAGCAGTTATCTTTTTAATTGCCACTGTGCTTACTCTGTATTACTGGATCAAAGTTTTGATATCCTGGTTGCATATATAGAATAATATATATATATATTAATATATATATATATATATATATATATATATATATATATATATATATATATATATATATATATATATATATATATATATCACTGTTCCTTCCCCACCTTCTCCCAGTCTAGATGCTGGTGAAGACATGAGACATAAGACAAGCTGAAGGCTTCGAATTGTTTCCCAAATTCACTGAGGTTACTCCCTATATAAATATTAATATAGACATTATTTTTCCCCCTCCTACCATCTCTTGTATAACCAGGTAGGTTATACCTAACTGTGAAACACATCACAGTCACTCACCGTATCTGTGAAATCCACAAACTTGGAGAAGAGGTACCAGTAGCCAGCGTGGACCATCTGTGGGGTGGAAACGGTTGGGGTTAGGAGGAAAATATTTTATTAAGGATGGAATGTAACTGTTGTGAATCAGGACATTATTTGGTTGCATATACTGTTTGTTATCATTCTTGTTGGATATCCTTCCTACTACCATCCATAGGGTTGGATATCCTTCCTACTACCATCCATGGGGTTGTGAGTGAATGAGTGAGTACCTGTGACTTACCCTGACTGCTTGAGGGTTGTCCGAGAAGTCGCAGGTCTGACACAGTAGAGAGTAACTGCCGAACCATCCGCCCATTCCAGCCTTGAAGACGTAAACAAACACCAATACATTAATTACTGAATTGTCTGCAGTTGATATATAGGTCATGTTGACATTGACATTGATCCAGTATTTGACATGTTACTTGACATTTGTCATTCATCAAGAATGACAGTACTTATCACGGCAAGTGGAAGCTGGCATGACAGTTGCACACTTTGATGCACAGATCAATGCAAAGTAATTATATGTTAAGATGCTTACAAGGGAAGTAAGGTAGGGTAATAATGAGGAGAAAACACTAAGCTAGTACGACTATAGAGCAATGGGAGAGGATATGATGACTTTAAGCTGGGATTGGACTGAGGAAAGGAATAGTACCCAAACACATTGACCCTCGGGGATCGAACGCCGACCTGCACAAAGCGAGGCCGCTGCTGTCCCGACAGCCAAAGGAGGTTAACCACAAGAATAAAGATAAACATTTACCTCCCAGAAGATGCGGGCGGAGAAGACGACTTGGAAGGCGTTATAAGCCATCATCACCTTCCTGAGATTGGGGAGAGGGTTCCTGGAGGTCATGTACCGAGGGCCCCACCAGGTGACGGTGGCCACGTAGAGGAGACAAGCGGCGATGGTGGGCAGGGGAGAGGTCATCAGGAGCCACGAGTGTTGCCGGGGGTCAGGGGTCAGCTGCCGGCTCACCGTCAGGTCACCATACATGTAGCTCAGGATCACCATCACAGCCACAAGCTTACCTGTGGCCTTTAGTTCCCTCAGGACCTCTGTTAGGGACACACACACACACAGGTAATGTTATATCGGGGGATCGAACGCCGGCCTGCATGAAGCGAGGCCCCTTGCTCTACCTACCACTTCAAGTGGTGGGTAAGGTCAGGTAATTATGAGCAAAGAGATCTAAGCCTTTACGACTATATATCACTCTTGAAAGGGAACGAGGATAAGGATTTTGGATAGGACGATTAGGAAATATTGAAGGATAAAATCCTCGGAGAATATTAGCAAGTGTATGTCCAATGTCTTCCAGTTGGGAGCTGAGGAGACAATATTTACCTCTCTCGTCCTGCTGAGGAAGACGTGTTGACGCCTGACGGCGGGTCACAACGTCCTCAGAGGTCATCACGGCCGCTCTTCTCCTCCTCACTTTGTGCACACTTCACCACGCCTAACTGTGGCTGCCGCTATGGCAACACTTGGGCCACGAAAGCGCTCTCTCTCTCTCTCTGGAAAAGTGCACCGCCTGTGGATGTACATTTGGTCACATGTGAACCTTGTACAAGAAAAGTGTTCACACACCCGGCACCAACCACTTTGTAACGGTATAGACGAATAAATTACAAAAAAATTAGAAATAGTTTAGTTGACAAATGTTTAATAAACGTTTAAATGATCGAACCGTATACTACAATTTTTTTTTAACTAATCTAAGCAGTGCATACAGGCACCTAGGGAGCTGGTCGGCCGAGCTGACAGCACACTGGACTTGTGATCCTGTGGTCCTGGGTTCGATCCCGGGCGCCGGCGAGAAGAACATGGGCAGAGTTTCTTTCACCCTATTGAAACCTAGCAGTAAAATATGGTACCTGGGTGTTAGCCAACTGTCACGGGCTGCTTCCTGGGGGTATAGCATGGTCGAGGACCGGGCCGCGGGGACACTAATAAGCCCCGATATCATCTCAAGATATACTCAATATATAAGATACCTATACCCGTCCATACCGACGCCCACTGGAGATCCACTCGGGTACATAATTGGCAAAAATGAACTATATGTAAATAATTCATACATATATATCACTAACTTGACATAAATAACATTGGGGGATCAGTTCGACTCATTATTACATGATCCACCACCCACAGGACGGGTATATATGTCATACAATCGTTTCCATAGTCCGGGACAGGAAGCCTGGTACGCTTATCGAGGTCTCCGCTATTACACAATGCACCCCACAACAGTTGCCTGATTCTCAGGCATCTGTGACCCCTCACCAGACGTCGAAACTGCAAAACTTGTCTAATTTCCAGGTACCTATTTACTGCTTGGATAAACTGGCGCATCAGGTGAAAGGAAACATGCCTAACCGTCCCTGTGCCGGCCGGGCATCGAACCCGGGATACTCTGTCGGGACATAGACCACTGTGCTACATGAACCAGTATCATCTAAACAGACTCCAAGAGTAGATGTTATTTTTCACATTCAATGTTTCGTTTGTATTAGAAAGTAATTTTAAGAATTAGCTGGAAAGATCCGTGAGCAAAGGCAATTTGCGGCAAAATAGGCAACCAGTCCTCATTTTAATCGTGGAAACTTGAATTAAACACAAAAGGACGAAATCGGACATTGCCAAGCAGTGCAAGATCATAATTAACATTGCAGAATACATTAAAAAAGTCATCGCAATATCAAGCTCAAATCTGAATCAACAAAGCCTAACCTTAACTCCGTAACTCACTTTCACTCCCTTCCCAGCCATGACTGCAACGATTTGTATAAGTTATAACGAATATAGTTTCTGACTCTATCTGTAAGTTTAATGCTGTACTTTTAACACGTGAGAACTAAATTAAAATAGTTCTGTTGTGTATTGATCAGTAGGCCAGGAGCAGTCAGTGTTCCTGTCTAACGTAGACCTGTAGGCCTAGGTCATAGGCCCTGCAATGTTGATGAACAAGTAGGTCTACTCCTTGGCTCTGCAGATTTTGCGTCAACTAATAGACATGCTGCAGTATTTTTTTCCAATTTCACATTAACCAATACGTCTACTGCAGCATTCCTGTCTCGCATGCATTAGCAGACCTCCTGTCTAAAACTCCTGTTTTAAACAAAACCTGTTATGTTTAAACCTGTAAAACTGGGTTTGTGTAAACCTGTTTTAAAGCGGTACTCCTGTCTAAAACGAGCCAGACGGCCTATAGGAGTGTTTCTGTTTCAAATGGTCCAGTAGGCCGGCTGGACATCGTGGTCTCTGTAAAAATAAACATAAGAGACCAAGCATGTCCCTAGTGAAGTGAGATACACATAGGCCTAAGAAGACACAACTCATCATTAAACCTCCAGAAAATTGTTCTGCTGCCGATAACGTACGAAGCGACAGCATGAGGCTGAAGAACACTATCAGGAGCATGAAGAACAATGACAAGTATGAACCGCTTCATCAACAGGAGGTGGAAACCCAACAAATATGAAGAACAATAACGAAAGGAGCAATTAAAACGAGAATGAACAATAGCGAGAGAATGTAGAAGAACAAGTGAACGCGTGGAATAATATCACTGGAAATTATCAGCAGAGTGTGAGGAGCATGTCGTGTCAATTGCTCCACTGTCACAAGCATTAAAAAAAAAATAGCCTTTAGGAGTCATGCATTGTCAGTCAATTAATTAACAACTTTCTAGATTTGAAAGTTGAAAGAGCATTCGAGGCGTTGACAACATTGTGGAGAGCCTTCAGACTTCTCAACCCTTGGCGCTAGTGGTCACTTAGAGCAGCTTAGGAGTTCAAGAAAGAAATGCTTTGCCTAGCCATTAAATTATATATTTATTTATATATATTGATCATTTGTATGCGGAAAATCCACAAAGAAATGGAAAAGAGAGATGAACGTTTCGTGTCAACACCGGACTCTCAATAGCCTTAAGCTATAGGAGTAACACATCTTGCTGAAATCATTGTTAGAAAAAACTTTGCCTTTCTCTCAATATTGTATTCACAGTGGAAACACTTCTCCCGTCTTGTCAGACTCGGGGGCCTCGGTGTTCGCACAGCAACACAAATTGCTGTACCAGCGTTCATGTTCTCCTTAGTTGCATTTGATAGTCTGGTGAAAGGAATTCTACCACATTACGTAGGTCAACAATGCAGGGGTACACGATCCCAGTTTTATACACTGCACCACCAAATGGGTCTCTTTTGCAGAACCAGCACGCCAACCACCACCTTCTAAAGCCCACTGGCAATCCAGTTGGGATGGCCCCATTGTAGACTGGGCAGCTGCGACATGCCTAGAAGCTGCAACAACACCGTATGAAACTGCCCGTCTTAGAGCAGTAGTAGCTCCCCATGCAGGTGACTTCCTATTAACAACCTCAATGACAGCACCCGCCATGCATCTCACACTGCAGACCCTCCGAAGTGCAGTGACTCTCTGCCTTGTTGCCCCAATCTCCGTTGAACATAGGTGTAACTGCAGCAAGGCATTGGCTGACAGTTACGAGCCTGGAGTGTTCTGCCAAAGCCCAAGGGGATGGCACCTAAGACACGGTAAAGTCAATGACATCATTAAGAGGAGCCTTACCACAGCTGATCGTCCAGCAGAGAGAGAGCTCCATTACCTAACGTCCCGCAACTCTGGCGTGCCTGTTGATCGCCCAGACAGAATCACAGTGAACCCCCTGGAAGAACGGTAGACAGTTGGTGTGGGATTACACGTGCCTTGCAACCTTGACTAACACCTACGTTGTCTTCAGTGTTGCACATCCGGGTGGTGCTGCCTCTCACAGATGATAGGGAGGTTTCACTAGGTCCTTGTGGAACACCACAGATGATAGGGAAGGAGCAGCGAGGCTCAGTCATCACAGTGACGCAGTGAAAGTCCTCTTCCCTTTTTTTTTTTTTTTGCTGGCAAGTTTTTGTCGGTGTCTCGCCTGTTTTTGTGAGGTCTCCCTTGACCTTGATGCCATGAGATGTAATTCAAAAACGTGTAGTCACTGTTGTGTACTTTGTGAGTTTGCGTGTATTTGTACGACTAGTTTTTCTTGGCGAATTTCTTTCCGCCATCCCAGTTTTTACTAGCGGGATTGTAAGAGGTCGTGCGTTACCTCCTGTTAACGAATGCTCCAGACCGATGGAAACCTTGGCAGCGTAGAGCAATCCTAATTATAGGTTCACATGGAAAATATATGTGTTGTGAAATCCCTCATTGACGAGGTATTTCGTGATGAAAAGTGCGTGTGCGTGTGCGTGTGCGTGTGCGTGTGTGTGTGTGTGTGTATGTGTGTGTGTGTGTGTGTGTGTACTCACCTATTTGTGCTTACAGGATCGAGCATTGACTCTTGGATCCCGCCTTTCCAGCTATCGGTTGTTTACAGCAATGACTCCTGTCCCATTTCCCTATCATACCTAGTTTTAAAAGTATGAATAGTATTTGCTTCCACAACCTGTTTCCCAAGTGCATTCCATTTTTCCACTACTCTCACGCTAAAAGAAAACTTCCTAACATCTCTGTGGTTTATGTGTGTGTGTGTGTGTGTGTGTGTGTGTGTGTGTGTGTGTGTGTGTGTGTGTGTGTGTGTGTGTGTGTGTGTGAGAGAGAGAGAGAGAGCGTTGTGACAACAGGAAAACTCTGCGCCATTTCATGAGATGTTTGGTTTGTGGGTCTTCCCACCAGAGGTCTCCAGCAGCCTATGTAGCCAGTACTTGATGGAACATCAGCACGTGCCCATACACCTCAGTGCCCTCTTTGCAGTCATGGAGGGGGGGTGCATGTATGGTGACACTCTTATAAGTGTGAACATAATAAACATGACTGGAGTTTAGTGTCGTGAAATTTACAATTGTTATAAAAACCAGCATAAATACAAATAAATGCCCACGGCGACCAGGACTCCAGACGGCCTTACAGGTTACAACTGCTGTAGTAAGTACTAATTATATTATTTCTGTACGTTTCTATTTTTCTCTCTACAAGCGTATTTTATTGGAGTTTTGGGGTTTAGCAGCGTCTGTAGCGCAGTGGTCTACGTCGCTGGTGTACAACCAACGTTCTGGGTTCAATTCCAGCAGTAGGACAGGACACGTTTGGGCAACATTTCACCAAATGTGTCTGTAATAGGAATTTTCTAAGGTAAAAAGGTCTGGACGAAGGACCATAGTAAAAAAAAAAGCGAGAGGATGGATTAAAAAAATATAATAAGTGACTAAAAAAATCACCGTGCGTAGTTTGAACATCTTTGGAGTGTAACAACTGAATGAAACAACCAGTTCAGTAGGTCGTTACCCCCTGCCTCCCCCCTCCCCCCCCCCCCTGCCCCGGTGGGTGTGAGGGAACACTAGGCGAAATGATTCATAGTACTCCGCTATTTGTCCGTTGGGGGGATTTTGACGTCAATATGTGGAATGTTTTTTTTTTTTTTGAAGGGATATTCCTGCACGGGCCCTAAGCCTCTGGCTGGCCCACTAAGTGTTGCTTGTTTCTGTTTTACTTGGGCGGAGTATGAGTATTTATGACTCGTAT